GTTTTTAAACTTCAAGACAAGCATGAGCTTTGCATTACAATTATTATTCTTAGAATAAACATTATTTGCATATGAACAAGTGCTTAAACAAAAGGAAGCTTGCATGATGAGCATCAGATGGAAGTTTGATTATCTCAAGGGACTAATTGCTTCAGGATACCGTTGAAAGGTAAGTCATTTTTGAAAAGTGATCTTAATCTGGGGAAGACCTTCTATTGATTGTTGAGTAAAAGAATACCAGTTTGAGAAATGATCTGAAGTAGATTGCAAAAGGTGGTTGCCCAGAGTCTCTGTCAAGCAGTGGTGCATTACTTTCTGTTGGTCCCAAGGGACATATTGCTTCAAGTATTTGCTCGAGAATGAAGCAGTTCAAGTCGAGGAGTATGGTTGTGAAGTAACCTACTTTCAATACATAAGCCAACCACTCTAAGGTTATGTTTCCTTTCAAAATCCTCAAGTTTCTCATCCCTTGATGAGCAAGAGACAAAGAAAAGATTTGTCAAGATTCAGTTGAGCAGGGGAAAGCATGTCGAATACTCTGCGAGTAGGTATTTAGCCAATCTGAGGCATTCAAGTCGGGATTTTATCCTTCAAAGTGCAGTCAAACTGGGGCAGTTATAATAATATTTGACAAATCTCTCTGAGAATGCGTTGATCAGAGGAGAATCTTTCCAAAATTTGAAGATGTATGGGCATTCACTAAAGCATAGTGGGAATCATCTCCAATTTTGGTTATCTAAACATCATGTTCTAAAGTCCATAACACTGGGGTAGATTGTCTTCAACAGTATAAATCTCAAAAAGTCCTCTCAAGGCGATTTTTCTGCAAAAGCCTTACAGACTGGGGCAAGAATTTATGTAAGGGCTTTCTATCTTCTTCAGTGGTTGATCAGACAAAGTCCATACGCAGGCTAAATAACCTATGAATTTGAAAATCATGCCGAGAAGTCAGGATTGTTATCTTTGACTTATCAGAGACTCAAGTCCATTTACTGATATCCTTTGTCCTAAGTCAAGGTTATTATCCCCAGTTGAAGATTGGATTGTTATCCTCAGTAGGATATGAGCAGTAACGCAAAGATCATTTGGGGTTGTTTACTCGTACAAGACGCGATGGAAATATTGCTTCCTAAAGGGATGCCGCTTCCCAGTAAAAGACCTGTTGCTACTTGACAAAGATCTATCTACCAAGGGGTTTCTCTTCTAAGATATTTTCTCCCTAATGAAGCATCCTCATTTCTCTGCAGGAGCAGAATGGTCCTTCTCTCGTAAAATTGGGAGTTTTTTAAGTCAAGATGATCCCCTTTCATTGGACTTCAATTTATTTTTGCAACATCTTCTCTAAAAGTCCACTTTTTAGTGGCATCTCTCCTTGAAGTCGACATGCTGAAGTTGCAATCTTGCATTGCGGTTTTTACCTGGTGATTGATAGTTTAAGTTGTCTATTATTCAGTAAGGTTTGCCATTCCAAACAGGGGCATGTCGCCCGAACTTCTATTTTTGCATGTACTGTTGGTCTTATATGACAAGATGCATACCAACAAATGAATCAAGAAGGGTAACATGAGGATTTTCGTATAATGAGATCCAATTTCCCCAGTGGAACTATTCTTCTTTCCTTAATGGAGCAAGTGTCCTATCTCTCAGGTGAGGTGTACAGGAGAATTCCAGTAATAACTCTTTCACTACCAGTGATAGAAGGTTTTGTTGAGATATCCCTAGTGGAGTTTCTATCCCGGGATGTTTGTATCTTCCCCAGGTGAGGATCTTTTACCTCCCAACAATGTTATCCCCAGTGTGGTCTGAGTAGAATTATTTTTATTTAAGAATTTCTATACTCCCCAATAGAAGTTATCTTTGTCAAAGAATTTCTATGCCAGAAGCTTCCATCCTCAACGAAGATCTCTTCTTTCTATACAACAGATAAAGAATTTTTTTCTCCCCATGAAGTTGGAGGTTTGATCAGAATTCAATATTTTCACTGAACTACAATTTATTTTTGTAGTATTCTCCCCAAGAAGTTACTTCCTCAGTGATATCAATCTTTAGAGTTTGGTGGTTACGAGTCTCGGTGCCCCATTGAAGTTCATATGGCATGCTCTGTACAGAAGATCAGATGTACAAGAATAATCGTTTGGAAGTCCATTTCCTTCTCAGCAGCCAATTATTGATGTGGTTTCCCCAGTGCATTACTAAACATGCATCACTACATTGCATCATTATATTGCATCTACCAAAACGCGTAGCATTTCTATTGTATGGAGCATTATGCTAAAAAATTTAAACATGCATGAGTATAAGCCAATTATGTCCACCTGTGGTAACCAAATTGTTATACACTCAGATTGCAATTAACTCCACAACAAGCCTAGGGTGATTCTATTTCTATTTCCCCATCGAAGTTTATTTTGATTCGCCACCAGTCAGTTCTTTGGTATTTCTCCATTTCCCTAATAAGTCGTGGTTTTCTCTTGCCTTTGCAAGCCCTTGGTTATTTTACCCGTGTTTGCTTTGACGTTAGAGTGCGAGTGAGAGTCATTTTATAGCCTTTCTTGCTTCTCAAGTATTTGAGTATCGATACTTGGTGTGTGGTAATTCAGATAATTGACACTCTTGAAGAATTACACCCCACCTTTGGCCTGAGGGATTTTGTAGTTCTTGTGTATTTGAAACCTATCGAAAGCCCAACATGTTTTGGCAATCCTTGTTAGAGTCCACTTTGACCGGTCTCTTTCTCTTGTAGAGTTCACCTTCGATCGGTGCTCTTTTAAAGGTCCTGCTTAGTCGGTTCCTTATTTTGGTTTATCCGCGTTAGTCGGGTCCTCCTTTCGTTAGCTTAACTAACCTTTTCTGTTAAGAATCCTTCAGTGTCTCTTTAAAGTCCAGTTGTATGGCGTCCTTGTTTGGGCGAATGCATCCTTTCTTGTTGGGGATTTCTTCGGTTAGTCTCGTTTGGGTGTTCACTGTCAACTCCAAACATTTGTTTCTCGATGCTCAATTTCGCTCTTGTGTGTCTAACTCTGACCAGATATGCATATCTTTATCCCTTGTGAGTTCGCCTTTGATCGTCGTTATTTTCTTAGGAATCTACCTTCAGCATAGTATTCCTTGATGAAGATTCCCCTTCGGTTGGTTTCTTTATCCTGAAGTCCACCTTCGGTTGACGCCTATAAAATCCACCTTCGGTTGGTACCTTTTGTTAAGAGTTCCCTTCGGCTGGTCTATTTTCATTGTTGAAGATTCCCCTTCGGCTGGTTTCTTTACCCTTAAAACCCCCTTCTACTGGTATCATTTGTTGAAGATTCCCCTTCGCCTGGTTTCTTTACCCTTAAAATCCACCTTCGGCTGGTATCCTTTGTTGAGAGTCACCTTCGGCCGGTCTCTTTTCAGTTGTAAGTCCGCCCTTGATCGACGTTTTTTCCCCTTAAAATCCACCTTCGGCTGGTATCATTTGTTAAAATCCATCTTTGGCTGGTATCATTTGTTGAAGATTCCCCTTCAGCTGGTTTCTTTACCCTTAAAATCCACCTTCGGCTAGTATCCTTTGTTGAGAGTCACCTTCGGCTGGTCTCTTTTCAGTTGTAAGTTCGCCCTTGATCGGCATTCGTTCCCCTTAAAATCCACCTTCAACTGGTATCATTTGTTAAAAATCCACCTTTGGCTGGTATCATTTGTGAAGATTCCTCTTTGGCTGGTTTCCTTACCCTTAAATCCACCTTCGGCTGGTATCATTTGTCGGGAGTCCCATCCGTTTGGTCTCTTTTCTCAATAAGTGCGCCTTCAATTGGTGTTCCTTCGTCAAAGCCTTCCTCGGTCGGTCTCTTTCTTGTGTATGTCTAACCTTGACCTGACATCCAAGAGATTTTCTCAGCTAAATACTGCAATCTAAAAAAAAATCACAAATAGTAGAAAATACAGAAAACAAAAAATATAATAATACCTGACTGGCTTCAGAGCGCAAATTTTCGGTTTCTTTTGAGTATTTAATCTTCTTCCACCTTAAAGGTTCGAAAGGCTGGCGCCAATCTCACCATAAGGTTTAAGACGATTAAATAGGGGCAGCTGTTGCACCCCAAAATATTCCCTCCTAATTGAATTTTTATTCTGGCTTAGACTTCGCATTCATCTGCATCATTATAATAGGTCATGTGCATAGCATGCATTTTCATAAAAAAAATAGATCACCTGAGGTGCAAAAGATCAGAAATTAGAGAGCTAGGGTTTACAGCTGATTTGATGTGTACGTGTTGAATAAGCTTGATTATCCAGGGTCTTCTTGGTGTACAAGGCTGTGGAATTGGGGTTTTGGTTCATGCTCATTTTTGGACTTCTTCTCCATCATGTTGCAAGGCTTCATTCTTCAAAGCTTAAGAATTAGGATTTTCATCTATTATACTTCAACTGGGAATCATTGGATTATGGTTTGATCTTTTGGTTGTCTTGAGCCTCTCTCCTTCAACATTATGGACTTGTTTTGAATAATACAATTTTCAGTTCTCATCAAATACTTGTTACTTCAATTGCAAGTTAACTTGGATTATTTAGAGAAATGATTATTGATTTGGATTTGTTGAAACTTCTAACCATGTTCGAGATTAATATTTATGCAAGGTCTTATTAAGTTCATGTGTTAATGGTTGATTCAAGATAAGGTTGGAAGATTCATTCATATGGTTTCAAGGAAGATTCATTTATTCAAGTATTATTCAAGGAGAATCTAAAGTACGAATTCAAGATTCGTCAAATCATCAACTCAAAATATCAAGATTCATTCAAAAAAAATCAATACTTCAAGGGAAAAATAAGTACCATATTTCCAAATAAACCACTCGGTGCATCACTTTGGATATTTGACTTATACACTAGGTATCATTCAAGAAGGAGTCACATTAAAAACTTAAAATGTGTAAAAATTGAGGGGGATGGTAAATAGACTTTATTTCATAAAATGTACAAGTCAACATACAAAGTATAAAAGCCATGACGCTTTAAAAAGTACATTACGAATTCAAATTGGAAATACATGGGAAAAATTTACATTTTGACCATGAGCACCTTGACAAAGATTTTGACCGTATTTTACAACTTCCTTTAAGTTTTTCTCCAAATGAATTGTATTGCTTCACATTCGCATTCTGCAAAGCTGTTTCCATGTACAACTCAATGCTAAACCAATTCCAAAATTGATGTACTATCCATAATATGAACCTGCATAAGGGAACACGAAATGGAAAAATAGTCATTACAAGGCGTTCACATTCAGATTAGGCTCAGAGGTTGTCATGGTCACCATCACGCTAGCTGAAGTCTGCAATAAGATCAACCTCAAGACAACATTGAAGTTAATATCGTCAATGTACAAGAAGAAACCAGTGAGGGATATGTTACAATGAAATCCTTGTCCTTTGAAGTCAAGACAAAATAAAAGCTAGTATGCCCTCTGTGTAGAGGACAAATAAAAGAGTGGAAGGTAATGGATGGAGCTCGTCATTTCATGAATGAAAAATCAAGGAGTTGTTCTTGTGAGAGTTGCAACTTTACTGGTACATATACAGATCTTAGAAAGCATACAAGAGTTGATCATCCTCTTGAGCGCCCATCTGCGGTAGACCTAGAGCGTCAACGTAACTGGAGGAGGTTGGAGCGGCAGAGGGATCTCGGTGACCTTCTTAGCACACTTCAAAATTCCTTTGGGGAAAACAGGGCTGATGATGGCTCCGGGCTTGCTCCTATAGATGATGGTGGTTTGCTACCTATATTCTTCCTCATTCTTCAACCTTCATCTGTATCTAGAGGTACCACAAGAACTAGACTCCAAACGAGGATTAGGAGACCCTCGAGACTCTGGGGGGAAAATTATGAGGCAGAATCCGGATCTACTACTAAATCAAGAGAGTGATCACGGTTGAAATAAATAATAGGTCAGATATAGCTCAACATCAATCCAAAATCAGAAAAAATAGAAGAAAAGTAGTAAGTCATGGGATCTAATCACAACCCAGAAATTTTCATAACAACTTTTTAACTGAGTGCATCTCCGCCCTCCATCAATAACGACCAGTTCACACATGTTTCGATTCAGGGCAAAGAAAATCAAACTGTGCCTATGCCATTACAAACCTGCATTGAGAATGTCTAGAAATGGGAAAATTAGAAATGAGCAGGCTGAATAAATCAATCAGCAGTTCAATCGCCAAGTTAAAATATGAACCAAGTTAATCAAACCTGCACAAAACCAACTGCTGACACAATATCTTTCGTTTCATCAGTTAGCAACTTGCACCTATTATCCAAAGTCTAATAATACAAGAGAAAACACCAGAAGAAAAAAGATCAAATCCAGAACCAGCTCATGAGTATTTGCAGCTCTACATATATCCAGACCAAATAACAAATGATAAAAATTCAAATAAACCGACCTGCATTCATGCATAAAATTAAGTCAGTTTCAGTACAAAAAATAGGAAGATACCTCAGAGGAGTACAACTTCCATATCTGTTGTTGATCAAATCTGCTATGCTCACTTGGTTTCCACTCAAATTGGACAGTTCATTAAGTTTAACGGCAGATCTGAAACAGCATCAGTTACCGGTGGAATAAATGGAGCTCCTGCCCCACAACCTCCAAAGTTACGAGAGAGCGTCCCCAATTCTATGTTTTTGTTTGATCCAATAAAACTATTTTGAAAGTGAATACTAAGCTTCGTTGAAAAAGAATCTTGTAGGCACTTGTTGACATGCTAGAAGACGTGAACCAGATGGCAGAAGCTGCAGCTATAGCTGGGCAGGCGTTATTAGCATTTGAGGCTGAGCTGCGCCCTATTGACCATTATGCCATTCACCTTCTACAACTGTGGGATCCAATTATATATAAAGCATCTCTGGAATCTGAGGTCGGGATTGAGGATACTGAATGGGAGTTGGATCACATTGAAGGTTATAGAAGAACCAAGGATGTGATAGGAAAATTGTAGAAAATAGTTTAAGTCAGAAAATTGGGAATTGCGACAAATAATTTCCAGCTCAGCAAAGCAAGTTCACGATATATCAAAATAAATTAAATCAGAAGAGATAATGTCATGGATTCTCTAAACTAGCCTTTACCAGTTAGTAACTAACTTTCAACTAATTTCCTAACCATCTATAATAAATTCCTAACTGTAAAAGAAAAGATAAAAAAATGTAACTAACTTCTAACAGAATTTTGTTATAGAAACTCACCTCCCTTGATAAAGAGGAGAAGGAGGACCGGAATGGGGGAACATTTTTTCCTTCAACTGCAAAAAAATCGTGGAGATCTCTGGCTTCCCTCAACTCTTCTTCAACCTTCGATGATTCATCCACAGAAATCTCTGAAAATCCTTCACATTTTCATCCACCAGAAAATCAAAAGAAATCTCTCTTCTTCTTCAATATAACCTGCTACTTTCATTTTGCTACCTTCTTAACCACCTCTGCTATTTTCTTCCTCATCTTTGCAAAAACTCGCCATCTATGAGCTTCAACCATCATCAACTTCTGCAATTTTTCTGTATCCTCATCAAAAAACTCACCACAACATAGCTTCAATCTTCAAACAACACCTCAACATCCTGCACCTTCACGATTAACAACGTCGAAAATGCGAATCCATCACCGAATGGAACACGCATAAGCAATGCATGGAATCTGAAGAGGAAGTGTGAAAGAGAAAGAAGACGCCTATCTAAGCTTGCGAGTTCTCGCTGGTTTTTATCATCGGCATCATCATCGAAGCCGCATAAAAAAGTGTCTCTGGTAGGTAAATCCCGCCTCTTTCATATCCTCTTCTTTCCGCCCTTCTTGATACCGCCGCATAAGAAGAAACCCTGTGAATGAAACCCCCATAGATTCGGGTGCTGAAGCTCAGGGATGAGTATTGAATTTAATACACAAATACTTAGGGTTCCGTATCCCTTCTTATTCAATTTGGATTATTCTTGGAAATTCACGAGAAATTTATATTAGGAGTTGAGTTTGAGATGTGATTGGAGTTAGGAATGTATGTTGGTTGAGGTATTTCACGGCGGTTATGACGGAACTTTGTTGGGGAAAGAAGTTTGGCCACCGCCAAGTTAGAAAGGAATAAGAGAGTGAGTCTCTGTCTTGCATGATGAAATTGAAAGATCACAAATTGTGAACCCTATCTGTGCCAAACGCTGTCGTTTCAAACCCTTTCTCACCCATTTTTTCATACTATTTGTTTGTTTAATAAAACAGGACTTGATATTGGATTATGTAGAAAACATTCACCTTAGGTCCATTGCAGTATTTTTTGAAGCTTGAAAAAGTGGAACAAAAAAAAAGGGTGCTTATTAGACGTTGCAGACTGGGCCCTAGCATCAGAATTTTGCTCTAGCACTCCTGTTTCCAGACTCATACCCTCCAGTGTAGAATTTTGTTTTCTTTGGTTTTTTTTTCTTTTCATAATTGTTAGACAACAATTTTGTTAATAAAAAATATTGATGTAACAAAAACACTAATAAAAAAACATTAGATTTTAGGAGATATTTTTAGAAATTAAATCCCGATTATTCGATTACTTGAGATTTGTGATTCACCTTTGTTTGGTGAGATTTGAGTCTTATGAAGGTTTATTATGCGGATGCGCCCGAGACTTTGATTGTGATTTATTTTCACAATCAATGATGCGTCAATACTTATTCGGGGCATTTGATTTCAAACTCTTTTCTTTGAATGGTGAAGCTTTCGCGAAGATCTTCGGGTTTCTTTGCTTTTTGCTTTGCTCTACGGGCTAATACTTGTTTGGTATATTTTCTTTCTGCATTCTCTCCGCATTTATCGCTTCCTAGAGATCATGTGAAGTATGATAACATTAGGTTTAGAAATAGGCTAGTCTCCCCTTGACTTTTCTTTCTCTTTTCGCATATGAATTTAAAACAAAAACTTATTTTTCTTACAAAACCTCAAAAATACTTAAACAATTTTACTGACGAGAATCATATCTTTTTTAAGTATGAGAGATGATAAGCGGGTTATTTCTCGACCTTATTGTTCTCTTATTCTAAGCTTTAGTGTGGTTCAAGTCTCAAAGACTTATTTCATGAATAAGTAGAGAAATGGCTAAAATCTCTCTCTTGAGATTAACTAGTTGTTATCTACAAGCAAAGACACCAACAATCACAAACTCCTTTTGCCTATGGGGTTTTCTATCAAAACTCTTTTTCAAAAGAGCATGTTAATTCACTTTTGTGCTGACGCGTAAGTCTCCAAAGGTCGAGTTGCGGAAGAAGGAGAAATTAATACTGTTCATTAAAAAATATAAACCAACAAAAACATGTAAGCCGAACTACGACTTCTCTGATTCCTTAAAAGGGATACGTAGGCATCGGGGTAGGGCCCGAACGAGCACAATTTTTATTTTCCCTACATTCTTTTATCCTTTCTTTTGCATGCATTCCCCCTTCAGTAGTATAGTAAACAGTAAGCATAGATTGAACACACCCTTTGATTAGAACAACCAGAGTGGATACCATAGAGTACTACAGGCGCGTGGGTGCTAATACCTTCCCCTCGCGTAACAGACTCCCTTACCCTTATCTCTTGGTCGTTTGACCTTGATTTCACCCTTCTCAGGTTTACTCGATGTTTACCTTTCCCTACATGTGGTATAAAAGAAGTTCGATGGCGACTTCATTGTTTGATGATTTTCAGCTGGTTGTTTCAATATGTAGCCGTCCCAAACTCGTATGCATCATTATTTGGGATGGATTGCAAGACCAAAAAAATCTTCAATGTTCTTCAATCTTGAACAAAATATTTTTCTTCCCTTTCAATCTATCTCACATAATGTTGTTGTTGTTGATGTTGTTGTTGTTGTTGTTTTATTTTTGGAATAACATTCTCATGTTCTCAATCAAAGAAAACAACATTGATTTCCTTGGCTGACAACATTGAAAAATTTATTCCTAAACATGTTGTAAATTGCACACACAAAATTTTGACCGATAAAAATTGAAATGGAGACATGACATGTTACTTTCAATGTTTTTATCATTTTCCATTTTTTCTTGGAACTTATTACCTCGATTTTTTTCTAAAATAGACGGGCTTACTTATTTTATTTTTATTTTCTATTTAAAAAAGAAAATATGTTTTCCCTCAGTTTTTTAATAAAAATAGAGGAAATATGTTACATAACTATAATAACGAATCTCTATCCTACATTCTTAAAGAAATAATGCTCAAGATATATCTAAGACATAAATCCATAACAAACTATCTACATCTATCACTATATATTTTACTTGTGAAAACATTTGCCTTGAAAATACTTGCTTAAGATAATGGAACTGATAACTCCTTACTTGGAGTAGATAAGTCCTTATAAGTTGATTGCATGCAATCCATAGAACTTTAAAATAATAAGTACAAAATATATCCAACAGAATCTGGATTACAACAAAGATGTGTTGTTCTCCAAGAATAACAACTACTATGATAATATTGCATTTGTTGTAATAATGTAATTTAATATTCTGTTTAAATAATGTAGTGTTAAAAACATCTTATACATCTTTTACCTTGTTTTTTGTCATAAACCAAGGGTGTAATTTTTGTGTGATAATTAAGGATGTTGATCGTGATCCTTAAACAAATATGTGTCTTCCATTTCATGAGTATTAACACTCAAGAGACTTCCATTAGTGATCTGTGTGTACCTAACATACATCCATTATAAAAGCATTATGAATATATAACATGAAAACTTTGAAACTTAAAAAATTGGTAAAGTTCTCTATGATTGACTGCAAGATCAGAAAATAAATTATGTTTAAGCTTTGTGTTCTTCAATAATCATTTTTTACCGTGTTCTTCAATAATCATATATTTATTCATGTAACTAACACTTTTCTTGTTTTACATCAGAAACAAATAAATGCAAAAGGGATCTGAAATATATTGCAACAAATATTTTATCTTCCCCGACATTTTAATGAAACAAGGATCCAACATCTGATATTCACCAACAGTGATGATGATGAATCGATTTCAAATTTTTTTATATGTATTTACAAAAATATTGTAAACAATGTAATATTTTGCATAAACAATTAATTTATTAAAAATATGTAGTTTGTAACGAGCTTAAAAAGCTATCAATCTTACCCCCTTGGTGTTATTGATTGTTGCACCCTAAAATTTTCCCTCTCATTTCTCAAGAATTTTCTCACAAGATCTCTATTGATTCAAGACTGTACAAGGTTTGATTAGCTCAAGATACCTCCTCAAACACTGATGACTCAAAACTAGGGTTTGAGTTTGCACAAGTACAATTGGACTTTTAATGCCCCATATAGTTTCCATGGATCATATTGGGCTCTCAAGCATCAGGTCAAAGATGGAACTTCTGAATCCTCGAAAGGAGGAAGAAGAAACTGTCGAAAGGGCAAAGCCGATAAAAAAAGGTGTGCACTTATAGATGACCATGTTGAATTCAAAATCTAGTTCAGGTTGTTCGAACCACATGACTGATCGAAAGGAGTGGTTGGCAAATTTTGACAATTCGAAGAAGAGAAAACTTGCTTTGATCCCCAAGCTTCGACTGGGCAGTGGCTTCCT